CTGGAGCATTAAATGCTTTAAATAACTGTCTGTTCCTTATGGTATATGCCCTTATTCTCTCTATTACTAGTACTATTGATTTTCTCTGACTGGGTTGGGGAGAAGTCTTTGTTTCAAGTCATTTTCATATGTTCTATCCCAGGTTTCTTTTATATTTAATCTAAGCAAGTACCCTGCTTGATAATGCAATTGAGCCTGTGCTGAGCGTATAAAGTAAAATACCACCTTTGGGAATTTATAGAGGGATAACAATGATTGATTTCAATGCTATTTTGGAGCACATTAAATAAAAATCTGCCCTACTGCACATTCACTGCCTGCTGTGGCTGAAAGTGAATCTCCAAACCAAGCTGCTCTCGCTTCACTGCAGCAGCCTGCTATTGGCCTGGTGAATGCTGACAGCGCTGATGTTTCTCTGTGTTGGAGGGGGGGAGCAACGTGACTCTATAAAAGCTCAGGATCTGCAGCATCACTGAACTGGTGCAGTGCAAAAGCGCTCACTCATCCACACCGATGGTGTGCAGAACAAGGGGGACATAAAAAAAAAAAACCTTCTGAAACATACATTTCCTTTTCTTAAACAAACAAACAAAAAAATCCACAACAAAACTTCATCATGAGCTACGATTCCTTCTTCTCCACCCGCCGCCCTTGGGACAGCTACAAAGGCTCCCGAACCACCACCAAATCCTCCGTGTCTTCATCTCTCTACCCTTCTTCACGAGCTCCTCCATCTGGTAAGAGGATCCTAAGGACCTCCTCCTCTTCCTTTCCAGATGGATCTCAGAGGATGAACCTGGCTCAAGCCAGCTCTCTAAACACAGAGCTGCTGGGCCTGCGCTCCCAGGAGAGGGCACAGCTTGTGGACCTGAATGATCGATTCGCCACCTACATTGAGAAGGTGAGGCACCTCGAGCTGCAGAACCGAGCCCTACTGGCTGAACTAGATGCGCTGAAGAGGCGGCAGAACGATCCGTCCCGTCTGCAGGCGCTCTATGAAGGTGAGGCACGGAGTTTGAGGGCCATGATTGACTCAGAGAATGGGGAGAAGATGAGGATGGAGGCAGAGAAGGACTACCTGCGCGATGTGTATGAGCAGATGAAGGAGCGCTATGAGGAGGAGGCACAGCGGCGCATGGATGCCGAGGAGGCCCTGCAGAGGGCCAAAGAGGAGGCGAGCAGGGCCGTGGTCTACAACTGTGATGCAGAAGCCACTGTGGCCTCCCTGTGCGATGAGATGGTGTTCCTGAAGAAAGTCTTTGCAGAGGAGCAAGCAGAGCTGCAGGCCCAGCTGCAGGTGGCCAACATCAGCATAGACATGGAGGTGTCCCGGCCTGATCTGTCCACCGCGCTGCGAGACATCAGGGCTCAGTACGAGCGGCTGGCGCACAAGAACATGCAGGCCGCCGAGGAGTGGTACCAGAGCAAGTTTGCAAGCGTGGCAGAGATGGCCAGCAAAAACAACGAGGCCGTGCACGCCATCCGGGAGGAGACCATGGAGTACCGGAGACTGCTCCAGTCCCGCTCCTCGGAGATCGAGGCACTCCGGAATGTCATCGACTCCCTGAATAAGCAACTGGAAGATCTGGAAGAAACACAGGCGAAGGAGGTGGAAAAGTACCAGGTGAGGCAAAGAACCAGGGAAATTAGAGCCTGCATAGGGAGAATGGAGCTCAGCCTTATTCTCCAACATGCATTTTATTTTCAGACTTACAGCCTTCTTCCTTTGGCTATTTTTAGAGTCTTTCTTCTGAAATAGTGCTGCAGAGAACTGAAAAGGTGGTGTTTACATGGTTAACCAGCACAGCTAAAAAGGAAGCTCAGAAAGCAGCAAGAAGAAATGATGTTTCTTTCATCTACAGGATGACATGTAGATATATTCTCTGCAGCAGCTAACCCTCCCTGTGCTCTACTGCACAGCAGGAAATAATGACAGGCTCACAGTGCAGGTGAACGTCTGCAAAGTTAAAGTCGAAACAAACTGGGAGAGCACACCAAAGCAGCTACTCTCGCTTACCATTGCCCTGCTTGAAGCAGACTGTTGCTAACTGTGACACTTAAACTGAGCTGAAGTGGTTTTTTACTTTTACAGATGAGGATAAGTGAGCTGGAGCGCAATATTGCTGAAGCTAAGCAGGAGATGGCGCGCTACCTGAGAGAGTACCAAGACCTTCTCAATGTGAAGATGGCCCTTGACATTGAAATAGCAGCATACAGGTGACACACACCCTTCTTCCTGCTCATCTACACCGACAGTGTTTGTTTTCAGTAAAGTTTCATGATCTTTTTTCTTACTTTATCTTAATTTGTCTTACTTCAGCTATATATAAAGACATAAACAGCAAACAATCTGTTTTCCTTTACTTTCACAGGAAACTCCTGGAGGGGGAGGAGATTCGTCTGGCGTACCCTTCCCTTCCTGCTCTAAATTAAAACCCTAAATGCCACCGACCCTGGCATAAATCGAGTATATCTTCTTACCCGTTCATCTTTAAGCTGAACATCCTGAGAATTCCTCCCTAACATGACCTCCCTCCCTCTTTCATGCTCTTCCCTTCGCTTTCCCTGCAAAATTTATTTCATCTTTACCCAAAAAATCCCAAACTACAAATCAAAGCTCACCTTTCTCAAGACCGCTGTGCCCTTGTGCTAAACAAGAGGTCCACCAGAAGTCCCCCTTCTTCTACACACATTCTGACACTACACATCAAGTAGAAGGCAAACTGCGAAGGGCAGAGTGGCTGCACTGCATTAGTTACACGTCTGCGTTGGACAGCAGCGTTGTTTTGGTGGAGTTCCTCTCAGTCAGACACGTATGACATTCAAGACAACAGTAGAGTAAACCATCTGACCTTTCCGAACCCTCGTTGTGCAAACACCTGACCAATTGTTTGTTAACGAGGATGTAAAAAACCCAACCTATAACTCTCAGTGCTTGGATTTTATATGTGTTTGAGCTGATTTTCATCAAGGAACTCTTCCAATCAATGAATGTCCTGCATCCCTGGTTTTGTAGTAGTAGTAGTTGTATTAGTAGTCAGTGAACCAGTAACCTTAAAATTTTCTTTTCATTATGTTATCGAGTCATTTGTGTCCTTTTTAGTTTGTCTTCCTCTGCATTGACGTCTACACAAAAGCTGTAAGCAACAAATCAGAGTGAATTTGGGCCTTCCTACTTTTCAGCAAAAACCAATCTGGACATTTAAATGCTGCAGAAGACTAATTGTTACTGGTTCCACCTTATGATCACGTACTGTGTCTTTGAGTCTAACTACACTAGATTTGTTTTGTCCTGTAAGTTCATTCCCAGCTAACCAGTGAAGCCGAAAGATAACTGCAGGAGCTCCTTGTTGTTTGTCTGCTGATCGTAGATCTATGTGGTGCTTTACATCTGTGAAAGTAATACAAAGTCTGCACCTGTAACTGGTGTACCTGTAACAGCCGGCAACAAGCTGAATAAACATATAACTCACCTGCAGCATGTGTCATATTTTTTAGTTTCATTTCACACCTTTAAAGATGTTTAGGAGACAAAAAGCTAAAGCACACACCCTGACATCAATGCAGCCTAATTTTAGCTCCAGATGCAAGTTAATAAACTTACCTGTTAGGCATTAGCAGTTGAATGACACCTTCTAATGTCCAAAATACATATTAAAAGGTAAAAAAAACTTTTAATCACCAATTTACAAAGCTCAACATCATTCCTTAGTAACACAAATGTGTCCAAAATAATGTCTCATTCAATCATATTTGGGGTTTTGTCAAATATTAAAGACATTCTGGGAAATTAGAAAATAAAATGTGCAGGAATGATAAAATAATTGCAACTACCATTTGATACCTGAGACCAGGTTTGTTTTTTTTATTTGTGTTTAAGGCTGCTGTAAATATCCTACTTGAAAATCCCATATAACAGTAACAATGGTGCCATTTTGCTGTTTAAGATTGCATTCCCACACAGTTTCTTTTTACTTACAGCGCTCAATGTCACCGACCGACACACAGCGGCACTGCACCATTTCCCATCATTCCATGCTGCTGGTAAGGCGTCTCTACCTGTAATGTGTTGATATATTGCCTCAGCAGGATCATCAGTCACCGGTCTGACATCAGGCGTCAAGCTGCTCAACCTTGAAAGAAAGAAGAAGAATCACGAAGACAACAAATGTATACATACAGCTATATTTCCTCTTAAGTGGGCTGAACTAATGAAGCTATTGCCTAAAAAGCTTTCAAAATACACATCAAAATTTGTTTCTTTCAATGTAAAGAAGCTTAACTACACATTTAATCTCTCAGATCTTTTTAAAGGTGTAATTTCAATAATACTTCCTGCAGTAAATTAAAGGAACATGTCAGCTGGGTTCACACTTTAAAGGAAATAAAGAAATGTAGGACAATTATTTGTGAATTCACAGAAACAATTCCATTACTTTTTAACAACTAGGAATTTCTATTGTAAATAGTGAACAGGAAGGAACGTTTCTGTTATTAAAATGAATACCACGAACAGAAAAACTAATTTTCCTGTAATTAACCTTCATCCAGAAGTCTACTTACTCTGGTGTATGACAGGTCATAAGTTATCTCTTCTTCAGTAAAAACACTAAAACCAAAAATTTAAAATACAGTTTAAGGTTCACCATAAATGGCCTCCTCCTCTGAAAGTTCCACATTTTCCACAAAGCTATCCACGGGCCGGACTGGACCCTTTTTGTCCATTTGACACCCCCTCTGACTTATAATTATTCACAATTCTTAATTGAAATACTCCACAAACGTGAAATTATTATCCCACTGAAAATGTCAATCCGAGAGATATCAATAAAATAATATAAAATATTTTTCGTAGAAATGGCTTTACTCTTGTGTCTCACGTTTAATATATTTAGAAAACAGCGTGTATTACGCTGTTTAACCTAGTTTGTTATCTTGATAACTATTGATAGCTTATTCTGTACCTAACTAACCTTTGCTAACCTCCAGGAGGCAGTCAAGCATGCGCAGCTCGTTCGTTGCTAATCACTTCCGCTGGTCAGAGGGCAGCAAAATGGCTGCCGTGTTAGGTCGATAACATTTGTGCCCTAATGTTAACCTAGACCGCAGATTTCAAACTCAAATGCTCTCATTAAGCGTTACATTTAGCATCTAGGAATCGGCACCTGTTCCCATATTTAGACGCTGACATGTTCCAGGTAATCGGCGGGAGGAGCGTGCAGGTGGCGCGGCTCTTAGCGCCCAGGAGTGCCGTGCTCGTGGAAGCTGTCCGGGGCCGAAAGTCTCGCACCGACCCGGTAGCCAAGTCCAAAGAAGGGCGAATCAAAGTGCCTCCCCCCGTCGATCCGGTGGAGATGGTAGTTCTCAAAGAGAGATACACGGAATACAAGCTGATCATGAGGGCGCTCCGGTACGTTTAAACGACAGTATGTCAAAATCAGTTTCCCGTGACAAATAGTCACTCCAACTTAGTGAGCTCCCCGTCAGTCTTAAAGATATTCTGTGTTGCTTTAAAAAAGCTGAACTCGAACACGACTTCGTAAACAATTTCTCGAACCTCTTACACACAAATCTGTGACTAAGAGTGTCTCAGAAACATGAAACGATACATGCTTGGTGTACTTTAAGATTTGGAGTAAAGACAGTGTGATTGGAGTATTTAGTTTTCTTTATGTGTGTCAGTTTGGAGTTTAAGGAGGAGGTGCTACGAAAGAAGTACGAGGAGGAGACGGGCTCCCAGGCGGAGGAGAGGGCGAGGCAGGAGGCGGAGGAGCACCGAGCCCTGATGGGCTGGAACAACGAGGAGAACCTGCGCATGCTGAAAGCCAGGTGAGCAGAAAAGATGATGACATGAATACACTCTTTGTGTCTTTCTTCCACTTGCAGAATGGAAACTGTCTCATTCTAAAAGTGATGTTTTTTTGGGGGGGAAATCATTTCAGAATTCTGAGGGTCCAGAAAGAAGCAGAGGAAGCTGAGCGCAAGAAGATTGAAGCTGCCATTCAGCGGGAACAGGAACAGCAAGAATTCATCAAAGAAAAAGAGAGGGAGATTTTGCAGCTGCAGGTAGGGGTTGTTTCTGCATCCAAACTATGCAAGTAGAGCAAAGGGAACATAGTGATAAACTGACAAAACTTTCATTTTCTTTCAGGAGGAAGTAAAGAACTTCATCACCACGGAGAACTTGGATCAACGAATCGAGGAGGCACTGGACAATCCAAAGAATTACAACTTTGCCGTTAACAAAGAAGGAAAAGTCATCAAACAGACAGTCCTGCAGTGAAACGACTGGATGCACAGACATGACTCTGTTGTGGTCCGGACTAATCCGGCAGTTCAGTGATCCAACTCCCTCTGGAGGAGCATTTCAACACCTTTAAGCTGGAAAAAAAATCTTCTTTTAAAAAACATTTCCGGCGTGGCATCATCCGCTCACAGCTGGACCTAGTAGTTTCACCTCAAGGTCACACAGCCTTTATTTTCCCCATGTGTCTGCTTCATATGGTCCCTTATTTAAGTCATGCGTCACCACAACATGTAATCATTGCTGGCATTTGTCATGAGTTTTAGGGTAAATTAATGTAAACAGCATTGAAACGGCTGCTGAAGAACGGGACTTCATTTTTCTGCTTCATTTTGGAGGCTAAGGACCATTACACACCTACATGGTCAGGATCTGTTTATATTGACTTCATGATGATAACTGGTCTTTATGTTGAACCATGGTATTAAAATGCATTTTCTTACCTTGATTGCACATGAAATTTAATCTGATTTCAATATGCACAAAACTTAGGCGGGTCTCTCCCTAAAGGTTCAAAACCCCGATCTGTGCAAGTACAATCTGAGGTTCAATGTTAGCTCTACATTTCCTGTGTCAGGGATTATAGTCCAGTGAAATAATTAGCACGACTCAACAATGGTGCATTCTGCATGCTGAGTAGGATATTGAGTCGTATTATATACATGCATGCATCCTCTGGTAACACTGAGCAAGAGGTCTCATCCCATGTACCGCCATTCTGAGATAATGTTACCTGAGAGAACTTAGATTAAATCGGCTCAAAAGTAAAGCTCAGTCGCACAAGTAAAAATAGGACAGCAGCTTCCATGTAGCTACACAAACTATAAATGAATACATTAGTGGCTTGCGGTGACTAAATGTTTGTTCACGATCCGACTGAGCCTCTGTCAGTGACAGCAACTCCAGGGGTTTCGACTCAACTGGCTACCAGCTGATTGTATTCTGGTTATGTTCCTATACAAGAGGAAGGTTGCTGAGTGGAAAAGTAATCGTTACATGTGAATTTCTGTCTATGCAGACATCAAAAATATTGGATTTTCGATAATTTTTCACAGTTATTTGCTTTACTATCACAAACAGATTGCATGTAATTGCCAAATTGTTTGCCAATAGAAGCTTGATTCCATCTTACAACAACATTCATGGCAGTTTTGGTGACAATCTTATTTGCCATCCAAAATAAACCCCCCAAAACTGAAGTGAGATAACGTTATGTCACTGGATAAAACAGATTCTGACTAAATTTAACCGAGGACATAATTTAAAGTTGAAATTAAGGTGATAAATCATAATATATTTATTGCAATACTCAGCATATTGCAAAATGTTGAAATTTGCAATAATATAATGTGAGGTATCTGGCGAGTCCCACCTCTAAATGTTAAATCTGAACAAATTTTCAGATGGGGAGGTGTGTAAAAGTATCCCCAGTGACGCTCAGGCTTCAGGCTGCTTTTTAAAGGCTCCCTTTCAGCTTTTCAGCTTCCTTTTTCCTGCTTTTGGCTCCTTGTGATGTCAGTGAGAGTCCATATCCTCTCTTCTCAAACACAGCAGCCTCACCTACCTGCTGTTTACCCTTAAAGAGAGAGATGAGCTAGTATGGCTTGTTTCAGATAGATGACAGACCGAGGGGCTGCTCCAAAAGGATTAGTTTGAACTGTGAATGATGTAGAGCTACCCTAGTAAACCTTAGAGGGGGGAAAGAGATTGAGGCATCCACTTGGAGTGGATGCACTTTTAGCTGCAGCCCTCTGGGTGGCGCCCATCTCTCTGCATGGGCCTGTCTGATTACTCAGTAGAACATTAGCCAGCTTATGTGTGTGACACCGCTCTGCTGAAGCGGCGTAATCCTCTTCTGTTAGGCCAGGTGTGCAGGCTGATGAGAGGATGATGACAGGCAAAAACCTCAAGAGAAACCCAAGCAGCCAGCAGCAGCTGAAGCAAGAAAAGGCCACCAATAACATTACATATAAACACAGAGTGTTCCTTTATTGTTTAGTAAACCTGGAGGATTTTCCTTGTTATTTCTTTTCATTTTTGGTCCTCATGCTGCATTGACAGAGTGCACAAAATGATTAGGAAATTCTGCATTTATCCTGTTATTCCCAAATAGCTTCATTTTTAAACCACGTTTCCATGATATCATACATATTAACCTGCTCTAATATGTAAGCAGAAACTTTCTATGGTTCCACCTTCTTCAGTGGATCCCGTACATTTTTGTTTCATATATTATGTATCACTGTACATTAAACATTTCTGTTATTAAGCAATTTCAAAGTGTTAGGAAGCTGCGATGGCCTTTTTTTTGTGTGTTTTCTTACACTATAGACACAATTAAGTGATTAATAATCACATTCAGATCTTACAAACAGGTGCATACCAGCTCTGCTGCTGAGCCGCTGCAATGTTGCGCACACGGTTGATGTGATTAGTAAGGGAGGTTAACGGGATTGTTCCACCGCGGGCAGTGAAGACTGAGATTAACAGTGGATTGATTTGAACTCTGGGCTTAGAAGCACACAGCTGACAACTGGTTTGAGAGCTCTGTCTTAGTCAGCCCACCTGATTTTCTTTTAATTTAACTGAGCAATCAGCCCTGCAGACCTCTTTGTCTATCTGCCAGATGGGTTGGAGGATTCCTGCCTGTCTTTATAAAATAGGCTTAGGTTAACAGATCATCTTTTGAAAAACTCATATATCTATCATACTTTAAATCAAAATGATCTTTGACCATAATCTGACTCTTTACTGCTGCAGTAGGTCATTGTTGGATTTGTGCAGTCAGCTGCTGGCTCAGTGCGAGGAACCAAAACAAAAGTGCTATTGTTCTGTTGGAGCATACCGTTGGAGCAGTGGTCCACATGACCACAAAATAATTGCGGGAAAAGTAAAATACCAGCATGATACAATACCAGAGACCATTTTTTTTGTAACACCAAAGTATGCTGCTTTTTTTCCACCGGTGTGGCTGGTATATCTGTAGCAGACTGTGTTTACAGGCACTGAAAACAGCTGCTTTACAGCTTCAGTATTGTTGCAGTGAATTATTCCCGGTCAAACGAGTCTCAGGAGGTTTTTCTCTGTTTTATTTGGTGCAGCAGATGTGATTACATCAGAGTAAATACAACAAATCTAACTGTAACTGTAGCTTTCTTTGGCCTTTGCCCATTAATCTCTCAAAGATTATTAAAGTACGTGTGTGCACTAAAGCTAACGATGGCTTCAAACTGGTCCAAATACTGCTGTTGACCCAGAATGATTCTTTAGTGCCTCCATGTTGGCAATAAATACATTCACAAAATACTGTAAACACAAAGGCAGATGTTATTACTTAAACAAGCGGTTTAAAAGCATCTCTGTATATATATATATCTGCAAAACATTGAAGCTTTTCTCTTTATGGTGATTTAAAAAAATGTAAAAAACCCAGTCATAACTCATAAACAGAACAGAATATAAAAGGTCGATCATACACAGGAGACTGTCTCACTGACTTTATAAAATTTTAATTTGCAGTAAAAATATAGCACGCACTCACCTCAGACTACACGAAAAATTACCACTTGAATATTCAAGTAAAATAATTCACACGTAGAGCACACGCTCGCTGCTTCAGTGACTACAAATCTAGAGATATGTGGCGGGGATCCGTTTTAGCACCTGAAGACAAAAGGTTTGTGTCTTTCTTTCTGAGTTAGTGAGGTGTATCTTTATTCCCGCTTTGGTTTCTAAGTTGCTGGGAAGTTACTGGCGATTAAGAAATCTTGTTATTCAGCTGTCCGGGATATTTCTCAAATCTCCTCTCTGCCTCCTCGCTCAATGCATCCCCTGCAGGGAGATCAAATAATCAGTAAAGGTGGTCAGAGATGCCAATAAGAGTACATTTTATTATCATTATCATTATCTGGTAGTCTCACTGCTTTCCACTGCTTACCAATGTGGCAGTTGTGGAACCAGATCCGATGTCCGTCGTACTTGCAGTTGCACTTCATGGCGTTGTTGGTGAAGTCGCTCTCAGCCACTTCATAGTTTGGATTGATTACAACCTGAACAGAGGAGAAGTATTAAATAAACTATTCTTACTCTGTTGGTTTTATGGTCAGACAAGCTGTGTGACCCAAAACTAAGTATACTAAGCACACGAAAATGCAGAATATATGCAGAATTGAGTATAAGAGAAGTTAAAGAGAAGAGTTCCCCATAGAAAAAGAGCGATGAAGCTGTACTTTATTCCCTGGACCTGAAAACAGGACTTTCAAAGAAATAAAAAAAGAAAACTATGGAGATCAACTTTCTTAATCTGCCCTGTAGGTGTTATTATGTGTGGAGCTCTTTAAAAAATTAAGTACTTTTTTATTTCCTGCAGAGAAACACTGAGATTCAGTCCTGCGAAAAACAAAGGTAAGAAGCTAAGTATACCCCATGATTCAGTAGCTTGTAGAAACCATTTAGCAACAATAACATGAAGCAATAATCTGTGACTTTATCAGCCTCTCACGTCGTCGTGGAGGAATTTTGGCCCAATCTTCTCTGCAGCATTGTTTCGGTTTATTGAATCGCATGCACAGCACTCTTAAGGTGACACCACAGCATCTCAGTCAGGTTGAAGTGTTGACTTCTTTTCTTTGTCAACCATTCTGCTGTAGATTTGCTGCTGTGCTTGCGATCATTGTTCCATGACTCAGTTTTGGCCAAGTGTTAAGTTGTTGAACAGATGGCCTCACATTTGGCTCAAGATAGGCAAAGAGTCAAAACATCTCCATTTATAGAGATTGTCACACTTTGTTCAATCAACTCTTTGTACTACAATTAAATTCTGAAGACGACATAGCCGTGTTGCCATGGCAATGTTTTGTTGTTGATTATGGCAATTTGTTTCTAACAGGTATAAGTGCAGTGGTAATAGATCTGCTGGCTTACTGAAGCTCCAGTATTAGCACGATAAACTGAAAGACGGCAGCTGAAGTACAATCAATCAAAGCATCATCTATCCTTGTTTGCCTTTACTAGCACTGAAATATATATATGAATCTGCCAAAGAGCTCTGAAACTGGCCTCATGTGGGTAAAACCAATCTGAACGTCACCATTTTTGCGGTTCTGTGCTTTGAATTTCCATTATAACTCTCTCAAATAGGTTTCTACACACTGAGTCCCACAGTCTCACCTGCATAATGTAATTTCCAGGTTTGATGTCTGTGATGTCAATCCACTGGCAGTCAATGTCATGACGGTACAAATCCCAGCAGCCCACGGTGATGCCCTGATCGCCAAAATTGGCGCACTCGTATCGTTTAGAAATGCCTTAATGTCCCAGAAGAAGAGACAGATTCAGTGAGATATGTTTGAAAGACTAGCAGCAATGCAAAAAGGTCGTTAGGGAATTTTCTGGTCATGTTTATTTGATAATAAATTCATTAAAAGGAAATCATCATTCTGACCTTCTTGACAGTCTGTGTCCTCTAGACAGAAACTGGCTTTGTGTCCCTCTGCCACTTTGGTACCGTTGGCATTCAGCAAATCATAGTGGGTAAATATATCCATACTGTGGTAGTGGCTGTATTTAATATAAAAAGAAGTAAATGTTATCTTTTATATCCTGTATTTCTCTTTTGATGACTGACCACACACTGATGTCCGTTATGGTATTTGCTTATATCTGGAATCTACATGGTGATAACAGGATGACTTTACAGGAATTTCTGACATGTTGTATATTTGGCAAAATGATAAAAACCAAAGATAACACAGGAAGTGCATTAGGTTGATGCTCATTCTAACAATGCAATACTAGGAGATGTTTTTAATAGATATACTAACGCCTCAAATATATGACCTGTGAACACTTATCCCCAAAGTCTAAACACTCAGTCAGTTCATACCAGTCATGTTACTGGATAAACACAATTGGTCCTCTGCTGTTATCTGAATAGCAGACATAAGCACCCTTCCTACCTTCTTTCCGCCAGTCTGAGCACATTTTTTGTTTCTCACAGACTAAACAAAAACACATAGACTGGAGTTATACTAGACTCTAGTCCTTTTTAAATGAAATAATAATAAACATAGTTATCTCCTATGTTCATTTGGTCAGTTTATTCATACCTACTTTTCTGCTTCAATGGTGAATTTTGTTTTAACACGATTTTGGGAACAGGAAGATACTCCCAAAACTGATTTACCAGTATGTGCGGATCACCTAACGTGTTATAAATATTTTTCTTTTCCTTTTTCAAATAAATCCAGATCAACTTAAGCAATTTGACTTTAATCCCAGACCTTAAAACAAGTAGGGAAAACCCCAACAACACATGATCTCATATGAGTGAGAAATTGGCGACTGTGAGGAGGAAGAACTCCCTTTTAACAGGATGAGACCTTAACAACGTGAACCTAAACAAAAGTTTCTTCCTTTGTCTTTCCACTGAGACTTTGAGAGTCAGAGACCTTCTGAAATTTTTGCTATAATAAAAAAAATTAAACTTCCACAAACTTATTTTGATTGAAATGCAAATCACTATTCGGGGTTTGACCTTTAATTCTTTAATCACATATTGAGATTATTGTTTTCATAATAGACCTGGTTTCTTACCCGTGACAGGCGTGCCACACCCACGAGTGCCGTCCAGCTTTTGGCTTGAAGTCAGCGCGGCCGATGTTGTGGATCTGAGAGGAGAAGCGGAGCAAGCGGCGGTGTCCGTATGGCCAGTTGGCCTTCGCAGCTGATTTAGACAGGCAGTCCTCCTCTGCAGCGCAGTAGAGCATGTGCAGAGGGCGATCCTCGATATAAACTGTCTGCTCAACCAGAGAGGCATTCAGGACGAGGTCAGAGGCCGCTGGATAGAGAAGGAGGGTTAGGATTGAGATATGGTCCTCATTCTTTTTGTGGTAATACACGTGGTCTTTAAAGCACATCAAAGTCTTTCTCTTAATTTTAAAGTGTTATTCTTTCTTTTCTCTGCAGTTTGATGATTGCATTAAGGCTACTGAGTTTCATGAGGTCAGCAGAAGTTTAATCTTGCTGCAGATTTACATAAATATGAACAATCAAAGCTTTTGTTTGTCTCCGTGTCACTCACTCTCTGAGCAGATTACTCCCGCTGCAAACTTTGCTGCCGCTCTCTGGCAGCTGACAGTTTTGTGGTACTGGCACTGACTCAGAGCCATCTCATTTCCCATGCACTTCACACCGCTCATCACCATGTCTGTCACATTACTGCTGTCCCAATACCAGGTTTCCTTAAAGAGATATAACAAAACAGGCACACGTGCA